GAACATCAAGTGCTAGAAGGCGCTGCAGCATACGATGGAGTGCAGAACTGATGTCAAGACCTGGATCGGTCTCTTGAGCGTGATCTGTCTCGAGGAGTGTTGCGGCTGCCGGTACGGCTGTGAAGAGGTTCTGGAGATCGTGGCGAGTTGGGCGGTGTGGTGCCTAAAAAGTCGGTAGTGTTGTCAGGGAAGGTCACCGTGGGATCAACACGCCAATAGCCTGGGTGACCTGGAGGTCCGGGCACGAACTGGAGTAGGCGGCGTGCTCGCTTCAGGCGCATGGTGGCGCGGCCCAATTCAACGACGCTTCGGTGGTATTGGTAGTAAAGTGCGTAGGCAGTGTGATCCCAAAACATGTCGAGGCTGGGAACAGGGCCGTTGGTGATGGGATGCTCAAAAAGGCGTGTGACAAGTAGGAAGAGGAAGTGAAAGGCCAGGATTTCTGGTTGGAGGGTGAAAGAAGGTGTAAGGTGAACGGGCGGGTTGCCCGGCAGGAAATGCTGTGCCTCTTCGGTGTGCTGAAGCGTGTCGGTCAGGGTGTCGGTCGAGGTCGCTTCGCTTGTTGGTCGCGTTGGTGTGCTGCGGAAAGAGTGCCCGTTGACCATGTTTGCAGAGCTGAGGTAAATAGAGCGCGAGGTGAGCGGCGTTCTTTCAAATGGTTGCGGAACAAAACTGAATTCGAGGAGACAGTACTCAAAAAAGAATGATTGAAATGCCACAAGTAATACGAAAAAGGTTGAGTGAGACAGTCGCTCGGCCGCAATGAAAACCTGCAGTGAAATCCGCGAGTATTTCCAGCAGCGCGCCGGGAGGAATGTGGTGAAACTGCTATTTACACAAAATAGCTGCCGACCAATTGATCGTGATTGGGTTCCTGATGGCTGTCTTCACTGTTGTGGCCTGTCTCAGCTGCAGCTGCCGCGTCCGCAGTGTGCAAGGCTAGCGCTGGCTGTGGAAGAAGAAGTGGAGAGGAAGAGTTGGAGTAGTCCGCTAGGGATGGCAGCTGTTGCGGAGATGCAGAATGCAGGGTTGGTGGTGGCGTGTGAGGAGCTGGCGAGATGTGAGCGGGTGAAGTGGGAGTGGGTGAAATGGTAGGTGAATGGTGAGAAGGGTGAGCTTGCTGTGGTTGGATAGAGGTGTCACGTCGTCGTTGTTCTTCTTGAAGTTCCTGCCAACGGCTCTGACATTGTTCAATAGAGAAGCCAACACGGCGAGCAACGTAGTTCCAATTGGGTCGTAGGCGGTTGTCTGTTTTCAGCTCAATGAGCTTGAGGTCGGCTTCACCATCCCAATCGTCCCAGTCTGCATTGGAATTCAATGGAGGTGGTGGTTGACGTTTCTTCTTTGGTGGTAGTGGCTCTGAAGGAGGTGTGTCGGAAGAAGAATGGGTAGGTCCAGGTGCTCGTCGGATAGGCTCAATGGGTGCTGAGTCACAAGAGGAAGTGGGCGCCAGAATGGGGACTGCAAAAGAAGGAGGTGCTGGTAGTGGAGGGAATGTACGTTGAAAATCGGGATCGACCTGTGCTGTGTGGAGTAGGTACAAGTTGTGCAAGTTGGCAAGAATGTCTGTGGCTTGTTGGAGAAAGCGATGTAGCTGTGTAAGGGCAATCGTGGCGCGGTGGATCAACTGTGCTGGTGTCGAACTGGGATGCATCTTGGATGATGGCTTGGATGATAAGTGCCAATGATGATGATAGGCAGCAGCAGCAGTTCCGCGGCGCTTCCCAGTGGCGGCTCAGCGCAACATGCAGTGACAACGCGAGCGTGCAAATGAATTAAAGTGTGAATTTTTCGAGCATGAATTCCACAGAAAATTCGGTAGAGTCGTCGTGGGGTGACCCAGCAAAAACCCAAACCAGGATCGAGAGGCCATCAAAAACCATGAAGAAAGGAATCACGGAGGGCCTTTGTTCAAGAGTAAACACCAAGCCTACCTCATGAGCAAACTCTCGTGCAAAGATTCTCGCCCGGCAACATATCATCTGGATCGCAGCGCAACGAATTAGACTGGCAGCTCGCCCAGATTTTCCGCTGGACGGTAGGTATGTGGCTTGAGTGAAACTGTGGCGGAGGTGGCACTCAGGATGTAGGTGGGCAGTGGAGGTGGTCAAGTGGCTGGTGGTGTTGCGTTGACGGACCAGGCAATGCCCTTGATAATGGCGTTGTCCGGGTGAATCACCCAGGATTTGGCGTTGGCATGGTGTACAGCGCCATGGTGTTGTTGAAGTAATCGCGTGGCTTGTTCTTCGCCGCCGGTGGTGAACTTCGTGCCTTGGCCCCAGGCCAAAATGTTGAGAATGACTGAGTGGGTGTTTTTTGATAAGTTCCATGTGTTGTGGAGAATGCGTGCATGTTCTGAGTTGTCGTGGTTGAGTTGGTGGGTGATGCGGACGCCCTGGGCAAAGAAACCCGGATTGTCTGGAAAGTGGAGTTTGCTGGCCAAGAGACGGCCTTGCTGGAGGATGTTGGTGATGTTGCCACGAGGGCCTGTGTGCCCTGCGTTGATGTGGACCATCTCGGGTGTGTTGGCTGTGGCACGGGTTGCAGGTGGAGGAAAAGTGCGGGTGGCTTTCTGAACAAGACTGGGAATGGTGAGGCAGTGGTGCTGGTAGAGGTCATATGTATTGGTGGAGTCGTTCCACTTGATGTGTGTGAATTGGCGAAAATCAGAGATATCTTTGTAAGTGACACAGCTATCGAGAAGGAGTGTGGCAATGTATGAGTGTTGTGGTTTGTTGGGTGATCCGAGCTGTTCAGCGTGCCAATCAAGCCAATGTTCCAGTTGTTCCTGGGGTGTGTGTTGCTGTAGCTGTGAGGTAGGGCGCCAAGGCCTGTCTGGTCTGCGTAAAGCTGGGATGGTGGGATATTCTGTCTGAGATAGGTTGGTGACGGCGTCTTGCTGGGTGGAGTCATTGTTGGGTCGAAGTGAGATGGGGTGTCTGGAACGACTGCGTGAGCGGCTGTCAGAGTAGGAATAGGAAGAGGAGGAGGAAGGAGAACGTGGGCGACGATGTCGTGATGAACGATGTCGGTGAGATGAGCTCTGCTGTTTGCTGGAGTGTTGCTGTGGTTCAGAGTGTCTGGTGCGATGGCGCCTGGTGCGCCGTCCCCGAGTGTGATGGCGGCGATGTGTTCGGCGAGAGTGGTGGTCCGTGCTCGCCTGCTTGGCTGGTGCTGGTGGTGGTGGCGGTGGTGGTGGTGGAGCTGCAGCCGGCTGTTGTTGCTGTTGTTGCTGTGGTTGAGAGGTGGATAGGTCGGTTTGTTTCTGTGGTTCTTGCTGTGTGGGGCTTGCGGTAGCTGATGGTGGGGACGGCTTGTCCGCAGGTTTTGATGAGAGCTGGTCTGAGGCGAGGTTGGTTTGCCGGAGGTGATAGTGCTGTAGAAGGTGATGTTTGAAGGTCCCCTGTTGCTGTGTGGGGAGATGGTGATGGGTTTGCAGCTGTTGCGGGTTCTGGTGCAGCAGGGGATGTGGTGTAGTTGGCCTGTGCTTGGTTTTGCGCCCCGGTGTTGGGGTGAGCAACCGGTGGAAAAAATGGAGAATGGTTGCCAAACGCCTTGGCTGTAGTCCCACGGAGGTGGGGCTGTTTGGCCGGTTGGCGATGAAGGGTGCTGAAGTTGGGTAGCAGGGTGCGGATGTGGTGGCTGATGCTGGGGGATCAAGGTCGGTGGTTGTGATGGTAACGTTTCTTGCTGGGGGATTGGGATTGGGACCGGGTGGGCTTGGGGATGTGGTACTGGAACGGTGAGTTGTAGTGGTGGCTGAAATTGTGGCAAGGGTGTAGGTTGCCATGTTGGCTGAGGCATGTGAGTTATTGTCGGCATCATGTGTGGTTGAAGGTGAGGTGTAGCAGCGTGTGTCAGGTGTATGGGGATTGTGTGAGTTGGTGGCTGTTGCGGCCAATAGGGATATGGCCATGGGTATTGCATGGCTGACTGTGAGGCCCCTGCAAAGGCTCCGACAAAGTCGCAGTGGCCGCGTAATGGCTCCGGCGCGGGGCAGTGGCTACCAATGATGTCTGATGAAAAGGTGAAGTGATTGTGAGGTGAAAATTGGTGAAGGTGTGATCCTCGATGGTATGAGATGAGATGGCATGAGATGATCCGCAATGTGGTGAACAGTGATCTTGAGAACATGATAGAAATTGAAATGAGCTTGCAATGAAAATGCAGTGTAGTGATAGAAGTGTGTGATAATCACGGTGGTCACTGTACATCCTTGAAAAGTCTGAGATCAGCTGCTTGACAAAGTGCAGAAAAGGCATGAACGCGTCTTGAAACACTCAAGCATGAACCAAACAGTAAACTCAAGCAAGGAATCAGACAAATCAGTCATTGTTCTTCCATCGTATTAGCCCGGCGGCTCGATGTGCAGTGAATTCAGGGTAGAGAAAGATGGATGAAGGAAAGTCAGTGAAAGAGATGAGTCAGTGGCTCAATTTCCAGTATGTAAACAGCGCCTCCTTGCGGAGGATCACATCCAGCACCCACGTGGGACGGCTGAGCGGCTCACACTTCGACATTGGTTTTCAGTTAACTCAATTGCCAGGTCGAAGGAAGGTGGTAGAACCGAAAGGTGAAAAGTCCGAGGAGTTGAAGATGTTTGAACAAATGTTTCGCTCTCAACTGCGGTGACAGGCGGCAAAACGCGCGGCTGCTGAAAGTGGCTGAAAAAATGGTTTGAGGGGTAGGCAGCATGAAGAACCATGGAACCAAAAAGCCAAATTGGACAGCGTGAGCAACAGTTTCTTTGCAGGTACACGGTCAGACGTCTCTGACCGCATCCACCGAGCAAGCATAGCTTTGTTAGCCAGCGTTTGCTTGTCGGCCGCTGGCCCCCGCGATTGTCTTCTGGTGGGAGGGACCCTTTGAAACAGGGGTTGACACACACACACACAGTAGAACTTGCACTTGATTCTGAGCTAGCGTATTATTCCATTCGACTGGGATGTATAGTTTTGGTTACAGAGAGGTCTTAGAAGTCTTGGCTTCTTGGAGCTGAGGTCCAACGCAGTGGTTGGAGCCTCATTGCAGCCATGCCAGCTGGTTTGTACATTGAGAATTTATGACTTTGCCTGACATGACAATGCGGGATTAGGATGAGGATGAGGGGCCTGTGAACGATGTCGTCTTGGGGTGAATTTTGGGACAAGTTGGAAATTGTTGTATGCCTAGCTTGAAAGCGGCACGATGCAAAGGGAAGACTGAGATGAGGTCGGCGCAGCATCGGATAGCTCTTCACATTTCAGTTATTTGAGGCAAGTGCTGCAAATGTTTGGAATTCGGTAGTGTAGGCGGTATCCACAGCTCTGTGAGCGGAAATTGTATCACTAGGAAAATCCAATGGACTTTTGATTCTTCCAGTGAATACACTGCCTTTCCAAAGCTTGACTTTGGGAATGCGAAGAGAGATGACCCACCCATGCAGGGACAGCAACGGGAGCATCGAGCTCTTCAGCAGTTGCAATTCGGTGCGAGAATGCTTTTCAATAACAACGAGAAAGAGACTGACAGAGATGGAGAGAAAAAAACTGCCTGTTCAGTTCAGCTGTATACGAATCGACATAGCCGTATGCAATTGCTTTTCAATCATTACATTTCATTTTGTGTCGAGCACAAAAGAGTTGGACCTCTTGCTGCTGTAAGAGGGTTATCCGAGTGAGTGTATCTGAAATGCTGCTAACCAGAGGTACAAGGCAGAAAAAAACACTTGCCAGGCTTGCCACAAGTGCTTTATGGATCATTTCCAAGCCTGTTTGGCTTATTGCAAGAAAGGTTGCCAGGAGAGAACACCAGCATAAAGTGTAAATCTTGAGAATCACCAACTGAAGGGTCTTTTGAGTGCTTCTGCATTGACATCACAAGGTATTAAATCAGTTGAACTACATCCAAAGCTGTAAATCGCAAACATCAGGAGTACTGCGATGAGAAGCTCTCAAAGGAAACATGCGAGGCTTTGGACATTCTGGGATTTTATGAGTTGCTTGTTTGCCCGCCACACAACAAGCCCCTGAAGCCTAAAGGTTGGCGCACCCAACACAACAAGGTACTGATAGCCCAGGTGGCCTTGCAAAGACATAAGTGCAACTGTTGTCATTCTCTCCTTGTCATACCTAAAGAACTTCAAAATACTTCAAGGAGTTTTCGCGCAGGCCGAGGACCATGAGGAGCTATGGGTTCTGAGCTCAAGAATGCTCCGGCATGGATTTGATGCTCCGGCATAGACTTTCACTCCTGGCACGTATAGTCTGGATCAGAAACATACCATTTATGTTGAGAGCGGTATTGGATATTGCCAGCAGCCCAAAGACCGGTTCCACCAGAAAGGTCCGTGAGAAGTGCTGTTGTATTGCGTATTTTTTGTATGTTCTCCCCAAGCACTGCCTTCATTAGCTCTACGTGATAGAATTTATCACGGCATCACAAATCACGCATCTCAAAATCACATTTAGTGGTGCTCAACGTGAGAAACCACTTCGCCACGTCACAAGTCGGCACACTATGCCGCACCATGGCGCACTCACATCACAAGTCACCATCCACACTTACTTCAGTTATTTCCGATTGTATAAATTCAGTATGTATGATCGTTATGATCGTTGTTTAGTTTGCTTCTTCAGTAGCAGGCCGATGGCGTGATGGCGCCGTGTGCCCTCGGTGGATATAGACACGAACATCATAGCTCATCCCACGCAGCTTGGTACGCGCCGTGCGCACTGGACCCACCATACTGCACCCTACTACACCCAAACTAAGCACAAAAGGCAACACGGGAATCGAACTGCGTGGAAAGCACCAGGGCGGAATCGAATCCGATGCCACTAGCACCGTCTTTCCCAGAGAACGATTTGCCTTTCATCCCCACAACATTTGCTTTCTGCCGGCAACAGCATCTTTAATCGGAAGACCGCATTTGCCCAACGAAACATCTGAAGATGTTGACCTCGTGTTGCTGGATGTGGAACCCGCCAACATGTCCATCCTCTAGCGGTTACCAGTGTCCTTATCAGGAATCACACCCACCTCGTGTTATTGTTGCTCACATCACGGTTTACTCCATCGGTGTCGGCGAATTCTTGGGACCTTGTCAAGGTGGCCAAAATTGGTAGTATTTTCGACGTCATGAGCGATCCGGCGGGAAGGCTGTGCCAAGCAGGGTTCTCAGTGGTCTTTTCATCACTGAACTGAGCATTCCAAGTTGGAGGTTTTCTCGTTGGTTGTAAACATTTGATTCTCGCCAAAAAGCTGATCACTCTTGACATTCCGTGACCGAGTTCAATTCGCCGGATGGATGCCCAGAAAATGGACGCCCCTCAGCAGCACAAAACCAGACATTTATATAAGTTTGCTCTTGAAATTGAACTCTTTGCTTAGACAGTGCTTGTGCAGTTGTGCCACTTTGACGTTGATTTTATTGTACTGGCAAGTTCACCAGTTGAGCCCATTTGTCCTGTGCTGTTGTGAGCTCATAGCATTCAAGCTTCCGGGTAGACCGGTAGACTAGAAGTAGCTTTGTCACATCTCAGCAAGATAATACATACACTTTTTGGATCGCTCGAATGCTTGCTTGAACAGTCTTCAAGATCAATGCATAACAAACATGTATCCCGGCGCATTGTTTCCGGTTTTTGCTGAGCTACGTTTGCTCCAGATAGCGAGAGCCATTGGGGTTCTGACTTGAAGGATAGGAAGAGGTGCCTGTGCGCTTTGGGGGCTGGGTGCTGGCGCCGCTGCAGAGTCCCGCTGCAGTATGCTGCTGCCAGATGTGCGTGGTCGTGTGCGCTTTGGAGCCTCGGTGAGGTGCCGCTGCAGGGTGCCGCTGCCACAACACGTCTATATACGTTGAATGACAAAACACAGCGCTTCGATGCTGACCCCAAGATCTTGTGCTATTTGGGGTCTATGCTGGAGTATAATTTTTTCTGTTGCTGTTTCAATACTACGTCATTGGGGTGTGCGACATGGGTTGAGTCATTAAAGAACCATGGGAAGCGTTCCCAAAAATATGTTTCTGTTTCGACCTGCTCATCCTGGAGGGATCACAGTGATCAGCTGGTGAAAACGCCACATCCTGAATCCGGTCTTACAAAGGTTTTTGGCAGGTTCCATACAGCTGCCACCAGAGTACGATCGTCCGGTGTGTGTGTTTGTGTGTGTCATACTCTGTCCCAAAGAGTTTTATTAAGAGCAGGGGGATGGAGAGGACATGTGAAGCTCCATCCAACGAAGCTCCTCACATGATCCTAGGATATCGGCAAGGACGCTTGCCGACGGACCTGCAATCAACTGTTGCTCACGCTGTTCCACTCTCGGTTTGTTTCATGGTGGTTTTTGCATGCTACTCCCACCAAAACAGGTTTCCCACAGCTGCTTTCAGCCGCCGTCGTTCAGCCGCGTTTCTGCAGACAAGTGATCAATTTGTTCAACATTTCAGTTGTGCTGACCTTTTCACCTTGCGTTTCCCTCATCCCTTCCTACGTGGAACAGCGTTAACTGCAAACCCTTTATCTAAGTGTGTGCCGCTCTGCCGTCCCACTTGGGTGCAGAGTGTGATCCCCGCCACTGGGGCGCTGAATTCACGCTGGACTACCACTTAACTGACTTTGCCACTTTCTGCACGCGTTGGACTATCTTAACGGATTTTCGTTTCACTACTGTATTCTCAACATCAAAGCCGCCGGTTTTGCGACTGATCTTTCACGGCATTGCAAGCTTTCACTTTCAAGATTGAGATGAGCTTGTTCTCCACGTGTTTCAACTTTTCCACTTTACGGATTTGCACAACGGAACATGTTCAGGATTGCGATTTCCAGATCCTTTTCCACTTGCGGTCGAACTTTTCCATGCACTCTCACTTCCACACCCCCCTCACCTTGCACGCGAACTCATAGTTCTATCCCACCCGCTATCTAGGGTAACAGAAGGTAATTTTAGTCGACACACTTGTGTGTCGGTACCTTTCCTTCTGTTTCTCCTGTCCTACTCCTATCTACCCGGGCGGTTTAAGACTAATGTCCCGCTCGCTAACTAGTGCACCTAATTAAGAACTGCTAAGTAGTCAGTAACTAATTCTTGTGGAAGCCTTCTGTTGATCGGACCCAGCACTTCTTTCCGTTCCCTCAATTCAAGGGCTAAGTATTCAGCAACTAGAGTGCTAGGTAGTCAGTAACTAGAAGGTTTTGTAACTAGTGGGCCTCGTAGCTACACCTATCTTTCCCTCTTGTCCTTTGCATTTCTCTTTCTGTTCTTTCCTTTCCTTTCTTTCTAAGGCTTTTTAGGTTGCTCGTAATCTCTTTCGAGCGCCGATATCGGCACGCTGTGTGTGTCATACTCTGTCCAAAAGAGTTTTGTTAAGAGCAGGGGGATGGAGAGGACATGTGAAGCTCCATCCAACGAAGCTCCTCACATGATCCTAGGATATCGGCAAGGACGCTTGCCGACGTACCTGCAATCAACTGTTGCTCACGCTGTTCCACTCTCGGTTTGTTTCATGGTGGTTTTTGCATGCTACTCCCACCAAAACAGGTTTCCCACAGCTGCTTTCAGCCGCCGTCGTTCAGCCGCGTTTCTGCAGACAAGTGATCAATTTGTTCAACATTTCAGTTGCGCTGACCTTTTCACCTTGCGTTTCCCTCATCCCTTTCTACGTGGAACAGCGTTAACTGCAAACCCTTTATCTAAGTATGTCAATCGTGACGGTGGTCGCAGCCTGCCCCACCCATGTACCAACGAACAAAGCACATGGGATGATAAAACGAAGCACATGCAGGCTCTGTGGAATCGGAACAGATCCAGCCAAAACATGCTGAATCATGTTGAATTCCAAAACAATATAAAGCATTCTAGGATCTGCTTGCTTGCAATCCTTTCGTCGACATGAGATCAGCCTGAGAAATCTTGCGGAATCCCTAATTTAGATTCTCTGACAAGGGAGTCCCTGCCAGAGGTTGGATGATGCTAAGGTAAGTCGTCAACATCGTATCCGATTCCTAGTGCACCGTACCTGCCCGAGGTGCGATCAACAGGTTTCATGGAGAGGAGAGAAATGGGAATTTTTCTGCAGTCGGTTCAGAGTCTCATTGAGACCCTGACATTCACAAAGAAACGGATCTGAAGATACATGTTGGGAGGCAACATGAAGGCTGAAGGCTCCAGTGCCCCAGGTCAAAAAAATGGCGCCGGCTTTGCAATAGAAGCATCTGAAATTCCGTTGGATCCAACTGCTATCCAACCACCTCACGACATACTGAGCTGTGGCTTTTGTTTTCTGCCCAAGTTTGGACAAACAAAAGTGTTCCTCCTCAGCCCGAACCATCCCGAACCCGTCGATGGCTCAGGGAACAGGACATTCTAAGGCGCATTTGGGGGGCTGCGAGGCGGACTGGCTCTAATTTGTACATATTTCTACTCATGTTCTTTGGACTGGTACAAACAAGATAAAGAAACGCGTTCTAAACACGGTCAATCATCGCAAGTCCACTCCAGGTTTCGTTGCAAAATGCACAAGATAATTCTTCGATCTTGATTTCCTGGTAGTATTGATAAGTACGAGTGGTATCCCCACAATAGATACGCTTTGATACGATCGTAGAGGTCGGTGAGAATCAACACTAAGATTAGGAGTGAGCGGGGGTCTGCAATGGCACTTACTCGAGTAATCGTGGTGCAAGAAAACAGGTAGGAGACTTAGGCACACCGAAGAGTCTCATGTTTTTTTGGCTTTGAGGTACGCAGGGAGCGGATCATGATGATCATCACAAATCATGACAAGTCTCATTGCATGGAGCCTGGATGCAACATTAGCAACAATTTTTCCTGAAAGAAATCCAATTAGTTGAGAAAAGGGCCTCCTGTGGAGGCCATGATGAAGCTCTGAGCGAGCATGAGAGCCATTGAAGTTGTCTCGCCAGGACACACGGAAACCTAGAGCGTCTCACCGAGCACTGAATCGCCACTAATCACCAATCATTTGTCAGTCTTTTCCAGTCTTGTCAGTTGTTATCAAAAAATTTCCTTGGCAAAAGTTTCTTGAACCATTTTCAGTGGCAGTGGCTTAGTGCCTGCCCACCATCAATAGCCAATAGCCAGACGTGCTATTGTCCTGAATGCAGCAAGAGTTCGTTGAGCACTCTGTCAAGAAAAGTCACAAAAACGCAACGGGTGAAATAATGCACCACGGTTCAGAGTGTATCGTATCACCAATCCAAGATTTGTATTTGGACGTGACAGTGACTCCTTTTGAGTCTTCATTGCTGTATACATGGTTTTTGGACCTTTCCTGAAATGCAATAAGAACTGCATGGCGTTAAAGGGTTCCACAAAAATAATGATACAGTTGAGATTGAAGTCCTTCAGCGTCGAGACTGGCTGTCAGGTGATCATCCCAGTGGCTTTGCCAAGCTCGGGCCTCTATGACTGGTCCCTGCGCTGGAGAGAGGCCAGGCCTGACAGCCACCTCCCTCCCCACGCCGGATTTGGGGCTTTCTGAACCATTTTGCCATAGCCTCAAGGACTCAAGGGTATAGAAAAGGCATGCTACGCATGCAGAATGATGAGACCGGAATATTTTCCGACTTTTGCATCATGGTCAGAGATGTTGACTTGCAATACTTGGAAGATGCAGGTGTTGCAGTCCACATGAGCACTTCTTGAACAATCAACTTTGTCTACTTTAGTTTGAGGCTGATATTTTATGATGATTTATATATACATGAGTTACCTATAGGATCCTATAGGCAAAAGGCTGTCGAACAGAGTGACACTACCACTCTCTGCATGACCACCTTTCTGTCAAGTAGTCATGTTGGCTCTAGAGAAGATAGAGGCAGAATGCAGAGACAGAAATTCTGCAGCACTTGAACGAATGCATACTGTACTATTGAACGAAGTGAGCCTTGCAAGTTGTTTTGTTTGGAACTGGGTTGGACATGCTGTCACGATATAATGGTTTTGCAGCGAAGCTGGGGCCAGAATGAAATGTCGCAATAGCTGCTCTACAAGAGCCACAGCTACAAAAAGAAGCAAGGAAGCTCTTAAGCATAGGTAGCTCATGGGAAGCACCCAAGTTGGCAACCAAAGAGAGAAGGCTTCGATTCCTTATGCTTAGTGTGTTCTGCCGTGTGTGTTCTTGCAGTCTTTTAGGATATATATCATTTCTGGAAGGGCAGAACAATCTGACAGCTACGACATGCTACGACATCCCAGCATGAGACCCCATGCAGATGCAAGCTTAAAAGTACCTGAACCAGCAAGAAACCCTTTCGCTTGCGAGCTCTTCCAATGCCGGCAGCGGTTTTCCTGCTATTTCTTGCTTGCGTGGCGTTTGCCCATGCTGGGCGTGAGGGATTTCTGGATTGCTCAGGTGGTGCCGCTTGTCAGAGGGAGTAGCTGGTAGCTAGTGCCTAAACATGTTCAACGATCTGGCTGTTTATGCTTTTGGAAAAGGGTTATAGTTAAGATAGTTAAGAAAGCGTTCTTGTTCTGCAACGCATTCTTGTATAACACGCGAAAGGGGTAGTGCCCATTTCCTCAGGCGAGCCCAGGCAGCCTAGAGCACATCAGGGTTGTCAATTTGTCAATGGCATTTTTGCGATTGTGCAATGCATTGCACCGAAGACAGCCAAGCCTTTGCCAAAGGTAAGAGGCCTTTTGAAAGGAAAGCTTAGGGAGCACAGGGTATGTTCTATGATGTTCTATGAGTCCGCCGAGCAAGACACTCTCGAGTTGGTTGCTGGCAGCCCGCTGATTTCGTCGTAAAACTTCAGTAATTGATACAACGAGTAGCCACACTATGCATGACAATGCACATTTGCTTGCACAAAAGATTGGCTTGCGACTTACCGCTGGAATAAATCATGAGAAGAAGAAACGCACATGTTTCTTCAAAGTCGATGGTTTCCTTGGCCTTGAACGCGCATCCGAGGACAACTCGGAGCACGCCTTGCGGCGTGCCTACAGGCTGATAGTGAAAGGAAGCCATCCGGACAAAGGCGGCAGTGACGAAGCAGCAAGATGTGTACAACTTGGTTTGATGTGAACGGCAACCAGTTCAATCCAAGTTCCAAGTTCTTAAAACGCGGACCTCACCCGGTTTAGGAAAGATGCTGCGCCATTTGGTGGACACAAAACCCTGAATGAAAGCACAACTATGTAATCATACATCATATTATATACATGTGTTTTTTTTCCTCAGCCTGACAGGTCAGGGCTTGTGTAAGCGATGACTCGGAATGAGCGACACCTCACTCCTTTTGCTGAAGAACTGCAAGCCAGTAAAGGCCTAGCCTGGACTAGAACACATATATATATATAATATATATATTTATATGTACAGAATCAAGACAGAAATGTATATGAGTCGAACGCAAGGCAACAGTTCTCTCTGTCTATTCGACACTGCAGTGATTAAACTTAAGTTATTCGGCTCTCATTCCAGTGAAATAAGGCATGTATTTCTGTTGCAATGCATGACAGTCTGTTGCAGACAGATGAAGATGCATGAAGCACATGACCTGCATGCAGCATGCAACATAATTTGATTTCAACTCTGGCCATACTTTGACGGACCTGTTGCACAAGGCAATGAGCAAACGGCTGAGCTCACATCCCTGCGTGACTCGTTGCTCCGAGAGCCCTTGAAATTTCAGGTGTTCAGATGCTCAGCCGAGTGAGACACATTTGGAGAGAAGTGTTGGCCATGCCAGGGGTATTTGTTCTTTCACGATCCACTTAGTTCAAGGTCAAGGACAGCAGGACTCAATCATTGGCAAGAACACAACTGTACCAACATGGAAAGAAAGAGACACTTACACTAGACTTTTCTTTAATTAAACAAGAACAACATGTGTCATGTGCCTGGCCTGAACACCAATCAAGTCTATACATATACATATCTCAGCATAGTTCTGAACTTATTCTCAGGACCATGTGGACCGGCTTACGTTAAACCCGCATTGAGCTGGCTGGAGTAGTTCCAGTGAAGGCACCACCCTGGCATGTCGGGCGCATTTTGTACCTTCGATAAAGAAGGTGGTAGAGCCTGTACTTTTTTGCGCGCTCAGGAGCCATGTTTGAAGTGGGCAGCCTGCAGCCTTTCAATGCAAATGCTCGTGCCCAGGCAGGTTGAAGGACCACGGTTTTATCAACCAACGCGTGGGATTCAAATGTCCGGCTTCGCTTCGATTCGCCCGCAGAAATGCGCAAAGGAATTGGATGGACCATTGAGTTCAGCCTTAACGACGTTTTTGACTTTGAACCCTTTGCACCAACCAACTCACACAAGTCCGTTTTGATCAGTTTTGGCTCGAAGTGTTGACGCTCACACTCCGACTAACTAACATGGAAGTGGAAACCCACTGTTTGTAGAAAGTAGTCTTCCAAGAGACCATTTTCCACTTCCATGTTAGTGAGTCAGAGTGTATTGGTCATTAGCCGATTCAGAAACTAACCGATCAGGCAACTACGATTCAGAAACCAAAACAGCCGATTCAGCAACGATTCAGAAACCAAAATGGCCGATTCAGCAACTACGATTCAGAAACCAAAACAGTCCGATTCAGAAACCAAAACGGCCGATTCAGAAACCAAAACGGCCGATTCAGAAACCAAACTGGCCGATTCGGAAACCAAACTGGCCGATTCAGAAACCAAAATCGTGCCGATTCAGAAACCAAAACAGCCGATTCAGAAACCAAAACGGCCGATTCAGAAACCAAGTCGGCCGATTCAGAAACCAAAACAGCCGATTCAGCAACTACGATTCAGAAACCAAAAGAGCCGATTCAGAAACCAAAAGAGCCGATTCAGAAACCAAAAGAGCCGATTCAGAAACCAAAACGGCCGATTCAGAAACCAAAACGGCCGATTCAGAAACCCAAACGGCCGACTCAGAAACAAAGTTAGGCTGTTCAGATGAGTGGGCTGAACAGAGTGGAGGGTAGGAGTAGTGGGGGGTGGGGGGGTGGGGGGGGAACCATGGCCAAGATAATAACGTTCCATGTGGATGCAAAAGGATTTTACATTCATTCTTATATGAGTTGTATCAACAGCAAATGGCTGAACAGAGTGGAGGGTAGGAGCAGTGTGGGGTGGGGGTGGGGGGGAACTATGGCAAAGACAATGACATTCCATGTGGATGCAAAAGGCTTTTACATTCATTCAAGTAAGAATTAATGGTGGACGGCGCGAGGGGTGTGGGGTGGGGGGGTGGGGGTGGGGGGGTGAAAGAGTGACTAGGGCGTACACGGTAGAGGTGCAGACCGCTAGTGTCTTTTATGCGCAGAGTCTTATCCTCTTGCTCTTTGAGCCTTGAAGCAGTCAAGTATGGACACACTATATCGGCTGTTGGAGTGGAACCCTGTACAGGTAGGCTCTACTTTTCAGCAGGCACAAGATTCATGTCCACTCCTAGCTGATTGCGTATGTCGCACACTCTTTTTCTACTGCGAGGCTAAAACAGTCCAGCTAGCTCTAGCAACTTAAAAGAAAACTACGGTGCCATGTACTTACCTAATCCAGTGTGTTTCACACTATAGAGAAGGTAATCTCAAAGCTACTAAATACAGTGAGGGAGCAATAGCTGACTCACCTCAAGTACAAAATCAAAACGATAATGTACCTCGGCTGGAGACTGTACTTTTCACAGGCGGAGATACCATGTACCGGCGCTCACTAGCTCTTAATAGCCTGAGCTAAATCAAACTAAAAGGGAAAGCGGCTTCTTCTCTACAGAGACCTATAAAAGAATCAAACGACACTCGCGCAACAAGGAAACAAAAATTCAAGACCGCACAAACGCAATTAATTAAAATGCCTTGCAAAATGCAAGGAGCGTACGGTCCGAGGAATAATCTTCTCGTGACGTGGTCTCGACCGCTTTCATCCACAGACAAAATAAAACTGCATCCAAAGGACTCTCTTTCACATTCACATCAAAAACACAAGAAGGAGATACCGGCAAATGTATGTACAAAAAACATCTTGCACTCCAATTGCAAATCATGAAATGACTTAATCATCAACCATGACTGGTTGTCCATTAGAGGTCACTTCATAAGAGCGGTGGTGATAGATATCATCAGTTATGTAAAACTGTCCATATCTACCTGCTAAAGTTTAAAACTTCAGCCCGGCAACTTAAAGTCAAGCTTGGAAGCAAAGTATCAACTGTAACCAGAAGTATCTTCACTTCCTAGCCATCATTTAAATTTCAGCCTTCGCTCAGGAATTATGCTGCTGCAGACGATGAAGCTGCTTGATCAGAAGTTGGCGGCCTTCCTTTCTTTCTATTCTGCTTCTGTCTCTCCTTCCTCCGCAAGTTCGCCTCATGAAGAGTTGCTCCCATGCGATACTGTCTTCTGTCTCCAGATGAATAGGAAGCTGGTCTGAGTGAAATAAACATTGGACCATGACTGTCCTCGTCAGAGGGTCTTGAGCACATAACCTCCGTGTCAATCATAGCAAAGTTCTCTGAAAAATTACAGATGAACTCCTTCGTGCTCACTGTGGAATTTTCATATTCCTCTTCACTCATTGAATGACCCCATTCAACAATGGTAGACAAACATGTATCGCCAAGCTGTGATCCTTGGTATTCTTCTTTTTCAACAGTAGAATATTCTTCCCAGAGTTTATCAAAGTAAACTTCACACTTCTTGAGGACCTGTGAAGTTGAACTGTAAAATGTTCTGGGAATAGGTGCTTTGATACCAGGATCTGCTTTTACACGAGCTTCTGAAAACCTGCGGATCCAATGCTGCATGGTGCTGTAATAGTAGTTAGCCATTGGCTGCCTTTTGTACCCAGACATTCTGTAGGCCAAACTATTTGCATCACCAGAAATGATGTCCACCTCATAGACAAAACACTCGTAAAGCATCAATGCTGTCTGTTCTCCTGTCAGTAGGTGGGCATCCACAGCACGGTGTGTATCAACATGATAATTACAGACTCTGATGGTATGCATGTTCGCTCGAGTAAGTGGAACACGCTTGTCCTCAGGACCATAGTCATCAAATTCAAAGTCTGCATCCTTGAAATCTTGACGAGGCCTTGTTTTCTCCAAAACAAATCTCGTAGATAGCCCAAGTTACATCACGCTGTTCACAGTGACCAAGTTCTTGATCATGTCCAGCAATGATCTTGACATATCCACCTGGTGCCAATCTAGCCATCACTGCAAGATTCTCCCAATCATTGAAACAAACTGTCCAATTCTTTTGCTCAATAAATTCCTTGGCAGGAACAAGAAGATGAGCTTCCTGGAGAATCACGACATGTGCACGTAAAAAGAAGAGCATGTTGAAGAAAAGGTTGTTCTCAACTTGCTCATTCTGAAGTGACATGGCGCTCTGTTTGCGTGGCCTCATTGCACTATCAAGTCCTTGGAGAAACCTTGGTGTGGTGTACTTCTGACCACGAACCATGTTGCCATAGTTCCAGGATAAAAATGTCAAGGACTCTGAGCTGGCCAATAAGTTAGTTCCATATGGTTCTTCTATTCTTCCCTTGAGGAACCTTCTGCACAGCTCTTCATAGAAGGTGACAAAGTCCCAACTGGGTCCCTTGGGACCATATGATTCCAGTTCCTTCTTAAGTTCCTTCTTCGTCTCCTCCAATTCTTCTCGAGCATGTTCTGCCCTTTCAAGGGCCTTTGGATCGACCTGATACTTGCCATCCAAATGAATGATGCGATCATCATTGATAAAGAATCTCTTCAAATCATGCTCTGGTTCGTGTTCATGACAATCAGGTGGAGGTACTGGACAGACATTACGAATGGATCGAACAAAATCATTCTCGTTGATCCTTGACTGATAATGAGGATGGGAAATCTCACCTTTTCTGAAACAAACATGATTCAGCAATCTTGCGTGAGTTTCCCTGAAGCATTGTTGATAAAGGCCAATACCTGGATCTCCTGTAAGCTCTCCAAGCAACTTCAAAGGTGAAGTATGCAACTCATAGGTATTGTCAACTTTTGTTGTATCCTTTTCAACAACTACTTCAGATGGAAAAGATTCCTGGATTTCAGCCTCCAATTTCTTCTCTCCATCATCCTCTCTGACCTCTTTTATTTTCTCCACCGCCTCTTTCTTCTCTTCCATGGTTGCATCATCCTGAACTTCTTCATGAAAATGAGGATCAGGTATTTTATTCAGGCGGCTTTTCTTAGATTTCGGCAGACGTAGAGTATCATCAAGGTTAGCATCCATCTCACCTGATGGTAAGTGCGATGCAGCCGAGTCTTCACCTATCTCTCTTGACAGAAAGTATGGTGTTGACTCCTCCTTGGCTTCCTCCTGGTCCACTTCCATCTTTGGTTCCTCTGAAGGAAAAACACCTGCATTCTCATCAAATATTTCTTCTTCCTTTTCAGGTTCAACTGCAGGATCTTCTTCAGGAACTTCCTCTTCCATATCCTCATCTTTTAGAAGTGTCCTACTTCCAGTATAGATTCCACCAGCGATAGTGGAGACTCTTGTATAAGGAGGAACTTCTTCACCTGCATCAAAAGCTTGTTCTGCAACATCCTTGGTGAGCAAGTCCTCTACAAGATTTTCTCCCTCGGTTCTTGGAAGAGGTCCTGAGGTCTCATAAAAATCTGTCCTCTCTGAACTGAAAGCTTCTGTCGCCTTCTCATTGTCCTTTTGATCCCTGAACAGGTGAGTAATCTTCACAGCTTCTCCCTGTAGCACCTGATCACCTCCTCTATACTTGTCGACAATGGAGCGCCATACTGGAACATTATCATCATCAAAATCAAGCTCCATATCATCTGCCAACAGGTTTGAGATGTTTTGAGCTGCCTGTTCTTCTTCTTCATCACGTTCTTTGGCAAGCTCCTCATCCTTCTGGATCTTGAAGATACCCTTCAGGATGTCTTGTAGTACCTTTAAGTTCAGCTTCGATGATGGCTCATACGTCCCTGAACTTACAGGCTCAACTACAACACGAGAGCAAGAAATCGCCTCCAAAAACTTGGAATTGTATTGGCGTTCAAACTCTTCCTTCTTGATCATCTCATACAAGGGATCAGAAACTGCAACACGCGCCTGAACATACTCACGAAGTTGATAGCATGCATGTTGCACAAATCTACTGTTGGAGTTGTGAAGA